GGGGGGAACGCTGGTCCCCGGGCAGCCCCGGGCCCGGCCGCACGCGGCCACTGCAGCCAGCGCTGCCCGGGCCTGGTGCCGCGCTCTGGGGGGCTGCGGCAGGCTCACACTGGCGGGGCGGGTGACAGGCCAGGGCACTGCTGGCCTCCAGGCTCAGGCGCAAGCAGGCAAACGGGACGTGACTCCTGCTCTCGCTCTTCGCTACAGGGACAGCAGACCCGCCAGCTGGGAAGCGGCCCCAAGACACAGCCGATGTGGAACACACGGCGCACGGGCAGTGAGTGAGTCCTGCCCCTCCTGGAAGTACGCCAGACCAAAGGGAGGCGGTAAAGGGGGCCGGAGCGACCTCTCAGCCCCGAGGTGGCGGGTCTTTTGCATGCAGGGAGACTGAGGCAGACAGCTGCTCCGTCTCTTCCGGGACACCCCCAGCGGCGGGCAGCTTGTTCCACTCCGCCGCAACTGTTAGAACATTATCTTGGGGCGCCTGGGGGCTCAGTCGTTAAGCATCCGACTCTTGATTTCAGCTCAGGTCACAATCTCCTGATTCGTGAGATCAAGCCCCGTGCTGGGCTCTGTGCTGACAGTGCGAAACCTGATTGGGATTCTCTCCGCCTCTCTGTGCCCTTCCAAAAAATTATTTTCACTACAGATCTGAAGTCTACTTTCCCTTGACTGTCAGACTCTGGGGACGTCCCTACGGGCTCTTCCAGGTGACCGTGGCCAACTCGGGGGCCCCAGCCTCCGTCCCAGGCCAAGCAGCTCGGGGGTGTCAGCCGCTCGTGTGCTCATGCGCCCAGGCACCCTGCCCCGACTCTCCCTACAATTCGCCAAGAGCCTCACCAAATGGCCCAGCAGCCGCGCCCACGGCCCAAGGTGGCTCCTCAGAGGAGGTGGCCCTGCCCCTAGCCCGGCACAGACCCTCACAAGGAAAGGAAAGAAAGATACCGCTGAGGCTGCGTATGAGTTTGGCCTGCTTCTCCCCGTCTTCGTCGCGGCCCTCGGCCTTCAGCTTCTTCCAGGCGAACTCCTCTCTCTCTTGCATCTTCAGATCCGCGTGGAGCTCGGACAGCTTCACGGGAGAGAGCTGCAGCTGCGGGCGGGAGCGGAGGATGCTGAGGACCCGCCGCAAGATCCCCGGGAGCGGCGGCCCCGGGACCAGGAGACCACAAAACGCGAGCGGGAGGAGTCAGGGTCCCGGACAGTCCACGTGCCACACGTGCTCCCCTGCGAGAACCTCAGGGGCCTGCGCCCTGCGGGGCGAGGACACGGAACCAGCCCCCCCAGGAAGATGTCTGCTGCGTGGCATGATGGGGACATGCCCAGTCTGTAAGGACCCGCCCGCTGTCCGCGCCCGAGCACGTGGGCCGCCAGTTCCTCCCGAGGACACCACCCACGGCCACAGGCCTGGCCCCTGGGGGCCTCCGTGGGGCCCCCAATACAGGGCTGGGGGGGTAGGGACAGAACGCGGAGCGCGGGGAGGACACCGCTGCCTTTTCCTTGCGTTACGTAACTAGAATGGAAAATAAACCGCAACTACCAGAGAGCGGCTCACTGAACTGTGGACCGTTTCCACCTTGAAAGAAAACCAATCAGCGAACGCGGCTGACAGATGTCCCCACCTGCAAGGCACTTGCTAATGACACTGCTCTCTGCGGCTGTGACGTGTCCCCAAGGTCTGGAAGGGAGCCCAACCCCCAGGGAGGCCGAGAGGAGGCCCGACACTTGCTCCGGCCTTTCCCACGACTGTGTCAGCTCAGGCCCCGTCCACCAGCTTGAAAACTAGTCACAGAAAGTTCTTGGGAGTAAAAAGACGGCGCCAAATGAATGGCAGGGCCTAAGCCAGGAAACTCTGACTCTCTAGAAACTTCTTTGACCCTGCTCTGTGGATTCACTGCCTCCTTTGCTGGCTCCCCCGGGGCAGGCATCAGTCTCCTCGGGGCCCACACCCCTACCACCTCTTGCGTGCCCCCAACTGGATGCCCCAGGCTCCTCACAGGGCACCCGCCTGCCCCCCTCGGCTCCGTCCCACGTCCCACCGTTGCCCGGAGGCCCTGCGCGGGCACTCTCAGGAGAACAGCAGGACCTGGGGAGGCTGGGGCTTAGCGACCTTCCGGGGCAGAGGACCTGGGCGGTTCGGGGCACACTCATTTCCCAGGAAGGGCACATCGGGCGCTGGGCGGTGAGCCCCTGGGAAAGGCGGGCCTGCAGTCCGCCCGGGCCAAGGACGCGGCACTAAAGCCCAGGCACCCACAGCGTCTCTCTTCTGCAGGCGCAGGGCTGTGAGCATCTGGGGTCACAGCCGAGGACGCCGAGGGCCTGGCTCCTGGCTCTGCCCTCTGTGCTTCCTGCCGGGTGGACCGCGCAACGACACCGGTGTCCCTTCTGGGGACCGTAGGGGAGAGGACCTGAGTATTCTCTGACCGCCAGCCGGCTCCTCTGTGGGACGGACAGATTTGAGGACCTCGGGCACTTTCTCATCAGTCCATCTCCCCAGGACCCTGGGGGCAATCAGTGGGCCAACATCCGGCCGGGAGCCACAGACTCTTGGTGCCCAACTGGGTGTTACTGCCACGCCCCCCATGTTCCTGCGCTTCGTGTTTGAAGCCTTCGGGGGTCTGAATTACACATCTTGCAAAAATCAGTCCCGATCTGGCACCGACATTCCTGCGAAATGCCGAGGCCGCTGAGTTCCGTGCAGGACCCGCCACCTGTAGCAGCAACGCCCCTGACACAGCGGCCATCGAATTCCGAGGAAAAGGGGGGCGCCTGGGTGGCTCAGCTGGCTGTGCCTGACTCATGATTTCAGCTAAGGTCATGATCCCAGGGTCGTGAGATCGAGCCCCATGTCAGACTCCACGCTGAGCTTCGAGTTTGCTTCGGATTCTCTCTCCCTCTGCCCCCTCCCCTGCTCACACCTAAAAAATTTTTTCACAAAAAGGGGAAAAAAGAAAAAGTTTACGTGCAAACAGCTGGCACACTCTGGATTCTTTTACCCTCTCTAACTTCAAGTTAAATGTTAACGCCTCACGTGAAAAGAACTAGTTAGCAGAAAATCAAATGCAAACCAGAATCTGTTCAATATTAAAAAGGTAAGTGGATCATCAATAATTAAGAGATACGCAAACGCACAGGAAGAAAGCCACTCATCAGGAACAAGCGCTACGCCGTAGAGGACGGTGTCACAGGCGGTACATTGAACTACAAACTCACCAGGACGAACACATTAAATATGTAGTTTTCCGTATGTCAATCATATCTCTCAATAAAGGGGCAAAAAAGTCACCCAGAACCAGGGTCCACTCAAGCCCCTGCCTCTGGGAGAAGTGACTGCGTGCGGAGCCCAGTTCAAGGCGGCCACAGGCATCTGAGCTACTGTCAGGACGTGACCTTAACCTGCCCTTGCTAAGTCCTACTAGCAGCAGAGGAATGTGGTGTGCAGAGAACAAGGGAAGGCAGGCTGGATCTCCCCTCCCCACCCCTCCCTACCCCTCCCCACCCCTCCCTACCCCTCCCCAGCCCTCCCACCTCTGAAGACAAGACTTCAACACCTATTAATCACAAGGCCAGGACAGGAACCTGATAGGAGCTCACAGAACGGGGCCTGGCACGCTGTGGGGTCTGCTCAGAATGTGTCCCCATCCCCACCCCTGTCCCGTGTCCCCCCAAGAACACAAGGCAACCCTGAGCAGGGTAACACCGACCAGAGATCAGGGCAAATGTGGGTGGGTGCTGCCCGGAGGCACCCCCTGAGAAGACCTGCCAGGGCTCAACCCCAAAGCTCCAAGGACAGCCCTGGGCCACCCCCACTGCTCAGGAGTCTTGCAACACTGAGCGACAGACAGCGCTGGGCAGAAGTAGCCCCGGTTCCCCTCCCCCAGGCTGCGGCTCTAAGCACTGTGCCAGACGGAACTGGACAGTCTCACAGAACGTCAAGCCACCCGGGTGGGATGACGCGGCACCAGCGGTTCCCAGACCGGGTCTCCAAGACCGGAAGTTACTTTCAGTCTTCCCAAAGGACCCTCAACCCCAGCCATGGCACATGCGTGCCAGGGGAGGAATCCCAGTCCAGCCCGGGCTGCGGCCCCCAGGGTTACGGGACCCAGAGGACGCCCCGGCCCCGCCGCCCCCAGGCCCCGCGGCCCCAGGGTTACAGGTGACAGGAACCCGCGGCCGCCGCTCACCCGCTGGGCCTTCTCCCACAGCTGGTTGAGCTTCTCCATGCGGAACTCCCCGCCCGGCTCGCGCTGCGGCGGCGGCTCGGGCTCGTTCTTCTCCCGCGAGTACTTGCCGCCGTGGGCCGCCGCCGGCTGGGCCCCGAGCAGCAGCAGCAGCAGCAGCAGCAGCCAGAGTGGCGGCGGCGGGAGCCCGCGCGACCCGACCCCGAGCCTTGACGACGCCATCTTTCTCCCCAGACAGCCGAGACCCCTAGTCTCAAGCCAAAGAGGCCCCGCCCCCGCCGCGTGCAGGCCCCGCCCCCGCCGCGCCGCCTCCTGGGAGTTGTAGTCCCTCCTTGTGCAGTCGGCCCAGGCGAGGCCGCCGGCGGACTACGAGGCCCGCGAAGCCCTGCGGAGGCACGTGAGTGTTTCCTAGACAACCGCGCCGCGGCCCGGCGGTGGCGGGCGCCCGGGACTCCGGGATGGCCCCGGGCCCTTTGCCCGTCTGCTCCGCGGGAAGAGTGGACGGTTCAGTGATCGGGACCGTGTCTGGCTGAAACCTTAGATTACTCCTGTGTCAGCGGCATCGACAGGGAACCTTCCTTGCCGTGGGTTTCCTGGAAGGCGGCCCTGCTTGGCGATCAGGACACATGGGACCGCCCAGCCCACTCCTTCACTCGACAGAGAAGGACAAGCTGAGTCCAGGCCGGCTTGGTGTCTGGGCTTTTCCTTCCCGCGGGGCTGAAGCCTTTCCCCTAGACTTCGGGGCGCCTCCACCCCAACAATGTCTTTGAACTGCATCCCGAACAGTTAACTCCGTGCACTTTTTCTGTGTTAGGGGTACGTGTGACCTGCTTCATTTCTCCCCACCTTTTACAGCAGAATTCATCCTAGGGAGCCCACGTGTTGGGGTTGGGAGGTGCCCCAGAGCCGGCTTCAGGTCGCTGCCCTTGGGTAGCTTGAGATTGGTGGTTGAGAAGGGGCTTTGGGTTGGAGAAGGGACAGGTTGAATCCATCTGGTAAGAATGACCTGCAAGGCCCCCCAGGGTGGAGTGTTGTGCCCAGAAGGGAGGACATCCCCATAAGAGGATGAAGGAAGGTGTGGAGAATACCTGGGCCTCGGGAGGAGTCCTGATTTAGGTACTTTACAGCTGTGCCCTGGGTTGTCCAGAGAGGGTCACTGTCAGGGAGCACCTTGCTATCCTTCCTGCCTGATGCCCCAGCATCTCCAGAGCCATCGTTTCATATATTTTGTCCAGTTGTCCAGTTTCGTTTCCAACAAAGGTTAAATTCAGTCCCTGTGCTCCATTCCAGCCAGAGCCCAAGTTCTGGCTGCTTGTTAACATTTAAGGCACTTCCCGTTTATTAGTTAGCTTAGGCGAACTACTGTAACAAAGTCCAAAATGCATGAAGGCCCCCAAGAGGAGAGATGTTTCCTCTTTTCCCTGTTCAAGAGTGATCGACAGGCAGCTGTTCTCGGGGTGGTGATACGGGGACCCAGCCTGCCCCATTGTCAACACCGGGCTTCTAAGATTGCTTCCCCACGGGCACAAGGGGAGAGGGCAGGGCGGATATCACGGGGAAGGGGGTTGGAGAGCCAGGCCTATCGCTTTTGAGTTCTACTCCCTAGAAGCAATCCTACGGCCACCTCTGTTGACAAGAAAACTTCAGACTGAAAATGGAGTCGTGTTAGAGGCCTAGTCACCAAACCAGGGCTGAACACCTAACCTAATTACAGTTCCAACCTCACCCAGAAAGGTGGTTTTAACTGCTCAGCCAGGAATTTTCTGGTCAGCACCAAGGAAATAAACTCTATCCTCCAAAAGAAGTCAAGGTCAAGTAGGTGGTGAGACACCCAGCCCTTTGCCTAAGGGAAGGTGACCTTGCCTGAAACAATCCTTTCTTTTATTTTGCTAATAACTTCTTGCCCTACTGGCTTCCTATAAGCAACTCTGTTGTACAACTCCTTGGAGCTCCCCTCTACCTGCCAGATGGGATGCTGCCCTATTAATGAATTGTTTAATAAAGTCAATTAGCATCAGGGCAGTGGGAAAATGTAGTCCAATGTGTACCCAGGGTTAATAAGTATTGTGAACAACTAGCTGGTATTTTCCTTAGATTACTAGAAGAGCTAACCCAGAGCATTCGTAGAACTTCTTCCCTGTCGGGCTCTGGTGGAGGCTGTGGACCGCAGACCTCAAGGCCCATGACCTTCCAGCTCCTGGCATCACGGAGCCCAAAGTTCACAGACCAAGAATGGGTCACAGCGCTCAGAGTCCCTAATGATCATGATCATCTGGTCGTGCGTCTTTATTTCACAGACTGATAAGTGAAGGCCACAAGATGGAGTTTGACTTGCCAAGTAACCTAATTACCTAATTAGCATCTCATCTGGATGGAGTCAGGGTCTCCCTCCTGGCCTCTCTGCTTCTACCCTGTCTCCTGAGGAGTCCTGTTCTCGATACAGCAACCGGAACTAACCTTTCAAAATATAAGTCTGATCGAGAGAATTCCAGACCAACATTCCTCCCGGACATGACAAAGAAATCCATAACAAAATATTAGCAAATAGGACTCTGCAGTATATAAATAAGTTTGGCTTCATATTTGGAAATGGATCCTTGAAATTCCCTTATTAATAGAATAAAAGAGAAAAAACAATGGGTAATGTCCACAAATAAGAGCAGTAGACGCGCTGACCAGTCCCATACCGGTTCATCGCGGTAAAATCACTCAGCAAGCTGGCGGTAGAAGGAAATCTTCTCAGTTGCATAAGGGGCAACTGCACAAAGTGCAGAATGCACATCACACCTCACTGGGAAAATGCTGAGCACTTTCACCTTAAAAGAATGTAAGGACGCGCTCACCCTTATCCCTAATGTTCAGCACACTGCCTCACGCCCACTGGAATGGCCAAAATTAATTCGGTTCACAACGTCATATGTTGAGAAAAATATGAAGCCACTAAGACTCTCATACTTTGCTGGCGGGAGTGTAAAATGTTCAACCCTTGGCAAGACCCTTTGTCAGTTTCTTATACAATTAAACGCCTATTCTATGACCCAATCTAATGGGCTCTGTTCTGTGAACTTGTAACTGGGGTGCAGGGGTACAAGAGCCTCTGGCTCTGGGGGTCCCAAAGAGCCCAGGTTTGGCCACTTGGCTGCTGACAAAATCCAAAGGCAGAGAGATGAGTGGTGGGAAATAGGAAAGGGATTTATTGCTGGGAGGCTAATACTGGGAAGATGGCGGACTAGGGGCTCAGACTCTGTCTTCTCCAAAGTGCTGAAAATACAGCCAGGTTTATATGGGGGAAGGTGGGACAAAGGTTGGTGGGTCCCTGCAGCTGGGCAGTGAAGGTCATTGTCTTGGTGTCAGTGGCTGGAGGTGGGGGAAGAGGAAAGGAGGGGTCTTGCTGGCTTGCCGGCTGGCTGGCAGCTGTTATTGCTTGGGGGTAGTTTCAGTTCCCATCAGGATGCTTTGCCCCCTGGGTCCTTTGCCTGAGTTAAGAGCTGAGCTGGAGGGGCGCCTGGGGGCACAGTCAGTTAAGCATCTGACTCTTGATTCCAGCTCAGGTCATGATCTCACAGTTTGTGGGTTGGAGCCCTGCATTAGGCTCTACATTGTGTCAGCAGGGAGCCTGCTTGGAATTCCCTTTCCTTCTCTCTCTGCCCCTCCCCAACGCATGTGCATGCGTTCTTTTGCTCTCAAAATAAACCTAAAAAATTTTTTTTAATTAAAAAAAAAAGCTGAGCTGGAAAGAACATATCAAGCCTGGAGATTCTACTCGTAGGTTGCCCAAGATAACTTAAAACGTGTATCTATAAAAAGACTGTACAAGAATGTTTTTGGCAGCTTTATTCATGATGGACAAAGATTTTAAACAACTCAAGCACCCACCAACAGGAAAATGGGTAAACAATTGTGGCATATGCGTATAAAAAAAGAAAAAAGAAAAGAAAAATGAATCGCTACGTGATATGGACAAGACTTATCATTATGAGGAGTCCAATAAGCCAGAAACAAAAAGGAACACAGGACATGACTGCATTTTCTGAAGTTCAAGATCAGGCAAAAATAATCTATGATACTAGGTATCAGAACATTAGTTGCCTACAGTGGGGTGGTTGGTGATGAACTGGAAGGAAGCACAAGAGAACTTTCTCGAGTGATGGAAGTGTGTGATATTTTGATTGAAATATTGGTTGGAGGTGTGTATATATTTGTGAAAGTTCATTAAATCGTATGCTTAAGATCTGTGATTTTATTATGTATAAAGTTTATCCCAAGACAAAATACACCCACGCACATGTACGGCAGGGACTGACTTGTCCTGAGTGCTTGGTGTAAAATGCTCCCTCCCCTCCCACCCACCCCACCGACTCAGCTCTCCGAACATTGATGGCTGGGCCCTCGGCCTCCAGACTGGAGATTGGAAGAAATGTTTCCATTGAGTCAGACCATCTCAATAGGAAAGGACCAAAAATTCTGGCAGCAGAGTTAACCCAACGAGGGCCCACCAAGATCACGCGACGCTGAAGTCCTACATCAGCAGATACCATGCAAGGTCGTTAGCCAAGGATTCTTAGAAATCAAAGGACAGCTCCAAATGTGGAAGAGGCAGAGACGCATACAGACGAGATAAAACAAATAGGCAATAACAACAAAAAAGCAACCAAGAGAACACAAAAACCACGCAGGGAGAAGAAAAGGGTAAAAATGACTATTGTTACCCCCACAGAGAGAGGAGCAGTCGTTAGGTCCATGGAACACACACACGCATGCACACACAATTACAGAGTGCCATATAACGTATGATATTATGGAAGGAAAGTAATTCTTAATGTGTAATTCCAAGAACAAAGACAGCTATTGGAAACTACGAACATGATAGCAGAAATAAAAGCCCAAGTAGAATATAGAAAAATAATATCGAAGGATCTCTGATAAAAGAGATTGAAGCTGGGGCGCCTGGGTGGCTTAGTCGGTTAAGCGTCCGACTTTCGCTTAGGTCATGATCTCGCGGTTTGTGGGTTCGAGCCCCGCGTCGGGCTCTGTGCTGACTGCCAGCTCAGAGCCTGGAGCCTGTTTCAGAGTCTGTCATTCCCTCTCTCTCTGACCCTCCCCTGCTCACGCTGTCTCTCTCTCTCTCTCTCTCCTGGAAATAAAAAAAATAAAATAAAAAATAAAAAAAAAGAGATTGAAGCAAAGAAGAGAAGACAGATAAGAAAAAAGAATAGACAAAAAGAAACCCTAGATTTCCGATTAAGGAGACCTAGTGCCTG